AATTTAAAAAATATATATAGTAAGAATACAATAACAAATAGTCATACATCTTTTCAGATATTTGATTTTGAAAAAAAAACTTTGAAATTATATTTCTAGTTTAAACCTCTATAAATCATTTCACTCTTTAGTAGTCACTCTTTAATTTTCAATTTATAAGTATTTAAGATTAAAGGTTTTAACATTTTAAATTTTAATTTTTATAACTGTAACTAAAAGTATTGAATATTGAATTCAAAAATTATATACAAAAAACATAGAAAAATGAAGCGTCCTTCAACATTAAACACAAATGACAATAGGTGTATTCTTTTGGGTCTTAAGCAACCTGTATTTGTTCTATTGGAGCATTCATGTAAAAGAATACACGTAATATGGCATTCTAATTCTACCTAACTCCTTTGGCTTAATAATCTTAATAAAATTAATTTTATAATAAAAAGGAATAATATTTTTTTTCTGCTTACTAAAAGTAATTATTCTATAGTAAATTTAAACTTTTTTATATAATAAATCAATTAATGTATTTGCAAGTACCACAAAAAATTATTTCAAATAAATCAAAAAGTTTTGTAATCTTTTCAAATTCTAAACAAATTGGCTTTTTTATATTTATAAGTTTATATGGAAAATAAAATGTAAGCTTTTAAAACATTTTCTATAACAAAAATAGAACACATGAAAGAAATACTTCAAAAATATAAATATTTTGGGATGCTCTCATTTGCACTCTCAAAATGCAATATGAAAATTTCGAAATACATATATACAGTTAAAATGTTTATATAGTAGGAGCAATACTTAAAAATATAGGTCATTTATTTTTAAAAATTTGTTGTATATTTCAAATGATCAAATTTTTATGAAATTCGATGTACCTTAAGCATAACATTCAGAACTTGAGTTTGGCGCCTCATTTTTAAATGCTGTTCGCATTACCAAATAAAGTAAGAAGAAACTAACTGCTTCAATAGAATCTTACGAAAAAGTGCAATTTTAAATAAGATAAATAATGTTGATCATAAGTATATACCTATATATTTCGAGGACAAATTATATTTATTAATTATGAATACATGTTTTTTTTTAATTATACTATATTTTGCATTTGCACGTATGTATCTGGCGCATATCAAACTTTGGCTATGCACTTATTATAAAATTAATGCGTTAAGGAAAAATATGTAAAATAATGTAAATGCCAAATCATATGATCTACATCGAAATAATATCTCAACATTTATATAATGGACAGAAATAAAAAATAATAAAATCACAAAAATTAATTTCAATGAATTTGCACATTGTATTGTATCAAATATTTAAATATATTTTTTAATCAAGGATATTTTTAAATTCACATCAAATTTTAATTAGAATAATTAATTAAATTTTTGCATAAGACTACAATAGTTAACGATGTGTATTGTTTTGCTATACGACAACGACTTTCGCACTATTCCTTCAATAGATTATTTGCTCAATCCACAATATAAATCAGCAGAGATAAGATATTACCAACGCTGTTGAAATGTTATTGTAAAATGCTGATAAAATAAAGAGTTCTTACTAGTTATTAAACCAAAAGTCTTATTTTATTCAAGATTAAAATATTATTTAACTGAATGTTAAAATGTATTTAGTAGAGGCTGCAACTCAAAACAAACACGATAGCATCAACAATGGTCCCTACTAGACTTTAGGATATGTTGTATTTTAAACTAGATTGCAAAGATATTATTTGGAATAACACAGAGATATTCTTTAAAAAAATTCAAGTGTTTAGATACCAGTTAATAGAAACATAAGTATATATTTTTAGGTAGACCTAACAGAAACAATTATTGATGCAGTTTCATGCGAGAAAGCAGTAGGATATACTTAATATAAATAAAATATATCATATTTTGCCTTCATCATTATTATGTAGTTTAGTTTTCTATTATATATTGTATATTAAGTATAAATATATTTATATTTCACTTTTTTAAAAACTCTTTCATTTTACGTAAAAAGTGTTCGGAGTTATTGAATAAACCGTAAGACAGTCCTGATTTGGACAACAGCGTTTGACCCAATTCTAGAAATTTTTTTTAGTCTGCTTGAGGTTTTTTCTTCAAGGCAATTGAAAACACTTTCGATGTTGTAACTTAAGTTTCTGGAACAGAAAAAATCACACGTAGCCATATCAAATGAATATTGTATTTCGTCGGTCATATTTATTCAGTTTCTTTTTGCCAAAAAATTTTGCACAACGATGGGTTTGACCAATCGCAGAACATTTAAATATGTAAACCCAATAATATATAATCATACTAAATTGAGTAGAAGATCGCAGTTATATTGGTACGGTGCTAGTAATTTACAGAAAAAAATTTGAATTTTCACTCGTGATATATAAATTAAACATTCCTGATACTTTTTATATAATATGATGTCCCACCCAACTCTGAAAGTGTATAATATGTAAATAAAAACACCCATATTTCTTCTCTTCAATTATTTCTTCATATCAAACCTAATAAAAAAATTAGCTGGAAACAATTTTGGTATATTTTCAATGTATAATAGATTATGTGTAGATTTTACTAAAATAATATAAACAAATAAATAGTGTAACTTTTAATAAAGTAAAGTAAAACAGGAAGAAAAGTTGTTTGTTGCAACTATTTCATATGTTACATTGATACATAAAGTTTTAAGTAGTTACCTTATAGTCAGAAACTCTACTATTATCTAAAAAAAAATTAAAAGAACTCATTCCTTTTACTAATACACTATTTCTAGAATAAAAATTAATTACTACTTTTACTTTTTTTTTATATATGGTAAACATATTCATATACTTCAATATAATGTTTGTTTATTAATTCCACATATTTAATTTTTTTAATTAAAAAATTCCTATAAAAATAAACCACAAGAATCCTAGAAAAGAATATGAAAAGTTTTTGAAAAAATTAAAAACTAATAAACTTTCTTATTATAATGCTTTTAATAGAATAAACAAAATCTATTACTAAACGAGCGTGGGTAGAAAAAATATTTTTTTTAATAATGTTAGTTTTGTTTTTTTATTAAGTATGCCGAGACTAACTTTCACCTTTTAGTAGATTTTTTGCACAGTACTTATGCACTCCCCAATATCTATTAATACTTATTTTGAGATATTAGTTAATAAATTCATATAAATTAGACATTCTGTTTTCAATTTTTTATATATAATATATGTAAAAGTATACTTAAAATCACGATAAATTTTGTTGAATAAATTCTTGTTGACTTGTGATTTTATTTAATTAATTTTTTAGAATAAACAATGCTAATATTGAAAACAATAAATAAATTTATTTATTTACCGAACTATTTTTAGAAGAAAAAAAAACCTAATAGAAAATATATAAGTTTAAAATTCAGTTTTATAATCCACACAAGGCCAGTTGGAAATAATTTTAAATTAATTAAAAAAACATGAAAAATTAACGTCCTTGGATGTGCCAGATATTTGGTTATTTTTCAATATTAATTCAAGTTCAGTCAAGTTTAAGGTTTTTATTTTGAATTTTTTTTATTTTAAAATTGTATGTATGTTTTATAAATCATATATAAGTATATATGATGAAAAACATTTTATTGATATTAATAAAAAAATTCAAACATAATGCTAATACTTTTTATGAACTCAATTCATACTTATTATTAATAGATATAGAAGAGATCTTATTATCAGAAGACCAGAAAATATGAAAAAAAATAATGATAATATTCTGTCCGATTAAAAAGAATATATAAAGAATATATAATGCAACTACGGTCAGACTTTTCACATCAAACTGATTATTAGATATTGAAATATAGGATAACATACATAAGTTATTTAAATCAAGAACACCAAATTATTGAATATGTAAAACACCTATCATTATAATAAAACTGATTTAAAATTTATTGTAATTGTTCAAATTTAAACATATATCTGCTCGCCATATACATTAAAATACCAAAATATGATTATTTATATATTAATTATTTTATCATTTTTATTAAATCTCCTGTAAACGACATTTTTAAGATCATGCTGTTTCTTGATCTTTACGGGTTTTTTCCATAAATTAAAGTACTATATAGCATTAACACTGGCCTCAAATGATTGATTTGGGTCAAAAATCACAAATGAAAAGCAAATGACTAATTTCTGCATACAAAATCTCATATGCGCAAATGAGATTACACCGGCGCCATGGATCTCATTTTGTACAAATGAGTCCCAACGGGTTTCAAATAAGTTCCAAATGCAAATGAATACATTAAACACATCCTAAATAATATCACAGATGGTCCGCGAAACACCCGTTGGGACCCATTGATTTAAATAGTGGCGACAAACAAGGATATGTTATGCAAAAAAAAGGACTGTCTGCCTGTGAAAAAACTCAAGCTAATTAAGAAATAACATTTTCAAACTGTTAAATCTGTAAGATTTAGAACGAAATTAAGCAAAATAAACTGAGTTGAACATTTGATATGATAGCGTAAGATGTTTTGTAATCAGTAGTAATATAAAAAAAATATTACTAATTTTTTTTTATTTTTATGTAAATAACATATATAATAGCACAATTATATTATATTAAAAACTAATCATTATGCAAAATTTAAAAGTACAAGGCCTTTAACTTACATAAATATTGCTTGCTATATGTCATAGTTTTTCAAAAAAAAATTTTAAATAAATACGAGTATAATTATATTATGCTTTAAATAATAAATATTTATTGACCAAAATGCAATTATATGATTTATATATTATTTTATTAATCTTTTCTTAATCATATTTTAGAACGACGTATCTCGGCTTATCAATTGCGTACGATTGATTCTGTCGAAGAAACTTCATCGTCTGGTAAGGAAGATAGCTCACCCGAGTCACCGGAACAACAACAACAACAACAGCCACCACAATATGGTCAATATTTGGATCTAAATGGACAAGCTCCACATCAAGGTCGCTCTCGAACGAAAAAGACAAAAATACGCAGTAAATCCCTGCAGCCACAATCCAATATTGTCCCATGGCGTAAATCATCACGCCCAAGACGTGGACGTTCATTAGACAAATCACCATTTTTACCTGGTTTTA